GACGTGTGCTCTTCCGATCTTATGTATAGCCTTATTTGTTATTGTATGAAAAATTTCAAACTTGCAGTGTATTTTAAGCGTATCGGTGTAAATGTAATCAAGGTCTGAAGTTTCCATTAATAATGTCATATCCTCTATATGACCCGCAACTGTTTTTGATTGTACCAATTTAGGCGAATTCATCACAGTACATGAACCAAAAAATGGTGTATTAGTACGCATGTAAATTTGGGCATTTAGAGATTCAAACCAATTTTTTTCCACAGTACTGTTGGTATTACGACAATAATTACAGTAAAATGATCTATTAGTATGACAAGAATTACAGAATATATTTGATGTATTATTATTACCACTCAAAAGTTTGTCCTCATTTGGAGATTTAGATTTACGTATAATATTCATTTGAATCATGTATTTACCGTTTTCTGGAAATGGTGCAGAACATAATGTATCTAGAATTTTACAAACAAGCTTAAATTGATCGATTTTCCATGAATACTCGAATGTAGTCGATTCAATTTGTGTGGTAGAATAACTCTTGATATATGAAGGTAAAACTGATAAAGCCTGCTGCTTTTCTGAAGACTCCTCAGTAAAGACATTCTCAACTTGTTTTTCGTCAGAATTCTGAAAATAAGCAACTTACTTACAAATAATGAAAATGATAAAGATCAGAGTGTTTTAAAAATCTCTGCATCTTTTTTAGTAAAATATATCGAATTTATTTATAATTTTATACTTCATGCATTTTGATGTACTTTAATACTTATATTTTTTATAAGTGAAATTCTTTAAATGCTTTTCACATTACATGGTATATTAAATAAAATTATATCTTGAATTCTGTCAAATAATAGATAAGTCTGCAGTAAATTTTTTGCAGCATTAATTTTTTATTGCATTCAAATTACATATGCTAGTAAAAATTAGATTTGATGCATTTGGATGTATAAATTTTCTTCGTGATATATGCTTCAAAATATATTGAATTGTCATTTTGGGAAATGTCACAAATGCATTGATTCGCGTTTATACCAAATCTTACGTGCTTTCTAACGTTCTAATAATGTATAATACGTATATTCACAAATTTGAGAAGAAATGTTAAGAACTTACCTCTTTCCCTTCCATATTATGTGTTCGTTTTCTTCTAAAATGTTTTGATTGAGAAAAATTTCAAATTCTTTTGAAGATATGTCAACTTCGCTGATATTCCACACTCTGTTCAGATAATGATAATATTAGAATAATGCGTGTACAGAATACAGATATCGCACGGAAACTAATGAAATACATACGTCCTTTGTTAACTAGCTGTTATTTACGAAATAGTATATAATATATAAATACAACAATTTCGTCTATGAACAATGGCCGACAATGCGAATATTGCAAATAATGCGATGTAAGAAATGAGGCTCGCGCCCCTTCACGGTCTCTACGAAAAAGAACGCAGCTCACGCGATCACGTGTCATGTCCATGGTCATGTTATGAGGCCCCATCGAAAAGGAAGTGGAAGGGATATTCGCTATTCACACAAAGCCACCAGCGTCACCTTTATGTGCGCTCAACGTACGACTCATTTTTGCGTAGGCATCTGTTTAACTTTCTTTTCGACAGGACGTCTCTGACAACACTTATAACTGCAGAAATAACAACTATATGAAAATGACCATGGATACCTATGCTTTCTTTTGCCACAGAGCGTTGCAGAAATTTTCTTCCTTTGTTAATCTAAAAAGTAACGCCTTAATATTGGGTGTTCCAAAATGTACTGATAGCAATTAAAATCAATAGTATATGTAATGTGAATAAGATTTTTAATATTGTTAATAAATTTCATAGAA